TCTGTTCATTATCTTTATGGACAGAATTTCTAGGCGCAGCCAGGTGTCGGGTGGGGTCCAGTTCGGTAGCCACCGGATTTCATCTCTGCTTTTTGCAGATGATGTGGTGTTGTTGGCTTTTTGGAACCAGGACCTGCAGCATACACTGGGGCGGTTTGCAGTCGAGTGTAAAGCCGCTGGGATGAGAATTAATAAGTCCGAGACCGTGGTTCTCGACCGGAAAAAGGTGTTTTGCACCCTCCGGGTTGGGGAGGACATCCTGCCTCAGTTGGAGGAGTTTAAGTATCTTGGGGTCTTTTTCACGAGTGACGGTAGGATGGAACATGAAATTGACAGGCGGATCGGTTGTGGCCACTGTATCGATCCGTTGTGGTGAAGAAGAGGCTGAGCCGAAAGGCAAAGCTCTCGATTTACCGGCCGATCTACATTTCTACCCTCACCTATGAGCTCTGGGTCATGACTGAAAGAACAAGATCCCGGATACAAGCAGCTGAAATGAGCTTTCTCCACAGGGTGGCAGAGCACTCCCTTAGAGATAGGGTGAGGAGCTCTGTCACAGGAGCTCGAAGTAGAGCCGCTGCTCCTCCACATTGAGAGGAGTCAGCTGAGGTGGCTTAGGCATTTACATCGCATGGACCCCGGACGCCTCCCTCGGGAGGTGCTCGGGTCCTGTCTCTCTGGGAGGAGACCTAGGGGAAGACACGCTGGAGTGACTATGTTGCTCGGCTGGCCTGGGAACACCTTGGGGTCCCCTCAGAAGAGCTGGAGGAAGTGTCGAGGGAGAGGGAAGTCTGGGTGTCCCTGATCAGACTGTTGCCCCTGTGTCCCGGCCCCGGATAAGCAGTTGATGATGGATGGATGGATTGTGTTTTATTAAGACTGTGACCTGCTGGTCTGTGGAAAAATGGCTCTGATTCAAACTAGTCTGTGGTGCAGGAAAGGTCAGGAACCACTGCTGTACATCATCTAGTACATAGAGGGCAAACACCTTGGCATAAAAACTAGAAGTTGTCTGTAATGTGGAAGCATAGCCAGACCATTTCCACTAAAGGTTTATGAAAGTGTCTCCAACGTCTCCAAAACGTACTTAAAAACGGAACGACTTTAAGACTAATATTTTCAAATGGCTTTTTCTCATTATCTTCTCATTTTTGACCCAGCTGCATGTCATGGCTTAGCATTGGAAATTCAACTTGAATTTGAAGAACACTTTCTCATGTAGTCAAGAAAATTATGTACTGAATAAGAAGCTGTGGTTGGTAAAGAGATGGTAAAGATGTTTGCTTATATACCACACACCCAAGAGAGAGGACCCCCACTCACAATAACCCTTTTCCCCCCATTTTCCTCCTGAGACTTTGAACTAACCAACTATGGCTAATTATGCTTGTCCTTTCTTTTCTTTTCTTTTCTCTCTCTCTTTGTTGCTTTTTTAAGACTAACTCTCTGTAAAGATACCTGAAAAGGTATGATTCCCACTCAATTTGCTCAACAAAACCATTCTGCATGTCCATTCTGCCGAAGGGTTATTGTATGAAACAGTGTGTGTGTGTGGGTTGGGGGGGAAGGGGGAAGTATGTAGGTTTATATTTCTGCCCCAAGTCTGTCTGTAGTTTGCCCTTTTTTGTTTTTGTTTATTCTCCTCATTTGTTTATCTTCTTGTCTGTCTATGTCATTGACATACTGTTTAAATGTTACTCTTTTTTAGTATTAATAGTCTACCTGTTTTGTTTGTTTGTTTATTTTTGCAGGTATTTCTTTGCCGTGTTGGCCATTCTCACAGTTCTAGGAGTACTGAATGGATTAGTCCTTCTCCCAGTATTGTTGTCATGCTTTGGGCCTTACCCAGAGGTGAGTGATTGTGAAGTATGGATGTTAAAGACTCACATGAATGATTCAGCTTGTCATTGGTCAGATAAGACTGAATTAAAACTTTTAAGTGATTGAGATGTAGCATACATTTGGAAAAGGAAGAGAGAGACATATAACCACAAAGAACACTGTCTACTATTTAATTACCCAATTGATTTGTAGCATTGGATTTTATTAATGCAAATGAATTAGCATGTCCTTCAAAGGCACCCATTGAATGCTTCTGTTCTACATGACGCTGTGATGTTTGTCCTGAACCTACAGCGTTTCACCATCTTATGGGTTCAACAGAACCAAAGTTTTATTTTTTAAATTGAATATAGATTTGTCTGAATTGATTTATAACTGTGCAAGAGACAAGGAACTACAGTTCTATAATGTGGTTTTCTTTTCGCTCCCTCACTATATTGTCGATTTTATTTTATTCCTATATCTTGGTATTTTACGATAATTTCTTTTATTTACAGTATTTTCATTATTTTCATGATGAACATTTTCAAACCTAAAACTTAAACAGTAAAAATATAGCAAAAAATAAACCAAAAGACATCGCTGGTGTCTTTGTTTACCTAGAGGAGATCGAACACAGCATTGAGCATGCTCGTCTGTTCCTCACTGATTGGCTCATGCATCGTAGCATCTCTCAGTATCTCCCCCTGTTTGTCCGCCACTCGTTCACTTTGCTCTGCGCCATTATACATTGTACGTGTATAGTATGTTGCTATAAAGATTGTGCTCTTGTGTTTGGTTAAAGTTGACCTTAATTTAACTACAATTTAGCCTCCTAAATGCTCTGATCATCTTCTCAGGCTTCTGATACTAAACCCAAACCAAGACGCTAACAGTTAACATCCTTCATTTTTCTTTACAATAATGTGCGCTCCTGCGCAGAAATTTATAGCGTAGTCTGAAGTTTTTTCCTACCTGAAGTTTCTTCCTACCTGTAGCGGAAATTTATAGCCATATCTGACATTTGTGTTCAGGGTGCTAGCACATTATTATACACATCAAATCTCAATAAATACTTGCTTATCACTTATTTCAGACTGGCAGCACATTACTGTAGACATGAAACGCTATAATTACGTGCTTCTAACTGTATTCAGAGTGGTAGCACATTATTTGAGGCTACACAGAAAATCCCTGTTAATATATCTGTTCTCTCAGGGTTTAGGGTAGCACTTTATTTATTTACATTTACATCTGAAACCAGAGGGAATGTAAAAATGTTACCCAATGCAGCACAAACTGTAAAAGAGAAAATAATCACGCTCAGTCTGGATTTTTCAGCAAACTGTTTTTTTAATTTTTTTTTTGTTTTCACAAATGTTAACAGAAAGGATCATAATATGTACTAAGAAATATTTGGGTTTATTTTACATGAGTTTTATTTTTAGCGATTTTACAGTAAGATACAGGCTATGTCCATCATTTATTCACTGACAGTTTCTGGAGTTGTCTGGGGCAGGATTCTTTTTCGTAAAGAAGAAAGATTGATTACCAGGGTTTGAATGAGGTCACTGATTAGAATCGCTACCCCCTACCTCTATGTCCTCAGCCTTTGAGTTGCTGGAGGGTGCTTCTATCTTTACGAAGCTTGACCTTAGGAGTGCATACCACTTCGTCCGCATCCGTAAGGGGAAGAGTGGAAGACTGCCTTCAACACACCCACGCACACTATGAATACCTGGTCATGCCTTTCAGTCTAACAAATGCTCCAGCTGTTTTCCAGAATCTGATCAGTGACGTCCTCCGGGACATGCGCAACAAGTTTGTCTTTGTTTACCTGGACGATATTCTAATATTTTCCCATTCTAAGAGTGAGCATGTCCACCATGTCAGAACAGTCCTCCAGCGCCTTCTCCAGAATGCACTATTTGTTAAACCTGAGAAGTGTGAATTTCACGTATCCTCCACTTCCTTCTTGGGGTACGTAATTCAGGAGTGGAACTTCCAGATGGACCCCAGCAAGGTGTCAGCTGTCTCCAGTTGGCCTCGACCAGACTCCCGGAAACAGTTGCAAAGATTTCTGGGATTTGCCAACTTTTACCCGGCATTTTATAAAGGGTTATAGCTCTACCGCTGCCCTCCTTTCGGCTTTCACAGCCAATAAGGTGCCTTAGGTCTGGTCACCGGCTGCACGATTCCGGTGGCTGTCTATGGGGAGCGCTACGCACCAGTTTGTGCAAGCCTGCTCTACCTGTTGTCAGTCCAAGCCTTCCAATCTTGCTCCAGCGGGACTACTCCAACCTTTACCAATACCTCACCGTCCCTGGTCCCATATTTCATTGGACTTTGTTACTGACCTGCCCATCTCAGGGGGTAATTCAGTTATTCTTACCATTGTGGACAGGTTCAGCAAGATGGCCCATTTTGTTGCATTGACCAAGCTCCCTTCAGCCAAGGAGACGGCACAGCTTGTCCTTAGTCACGTTTTCAGGATCCATGGGCTCCCTCTGGATGTGGTCTCTGACCGAGATCCCCAGTTCAGTTCAGTGTTCGGAAAGGAGTTTTGTTCACTGATTGGTGCCACAGTGAGTCTGTCCTCTGGGTTCCACCCACAGTCTAATGGGCAGACCGAGAGGGTGAACCAGACTCTCGAGACGACCCTCCGCTGCCTTACATCCAAACATCCCTCCGTCTGGTCTGAACATCTTCTGTGGGCAGAATATGCGTACAACACCCTGACCAGTTCGGCCACAGGGCTCTCTCCCTTCCAATGTGCCTGTTGGTATCAGCCTCGATCA